GGTATTGAAGGTGGAGAGAGCGCTGTACATTCACTCCCCCCATCTACAATCCCTGCCAGTACGAGACTCGAACCCGCAACCTTTGGGTTACGAGTCCTGACTCTCTAACCATTAGGCCACGACTTCCCCAAGGTTGCACAACCGCGGTCCACTGCTGGAGGCCGCAGGAGCGCTGCTCTTGTTTTGGCGGTGGCAGGGGGGCCGTCCTCGTCGACGGCAGCAGCTGCACGCCGGGGCAGGATGTACCTGATGGCCTCAGTCTGCTTTGGTCAGCGGAGAACAGCTGGGCAAGTTCTCCACCGTGTCGCCGAAAAGGCCGGCCTGGGACACGGGGGCGTTCAAGAATCGTGTCTTGCCGTCTCGCGCGTGTCACCAATCACAGCCAGAAATGGCGCTCCTGGACCACCATAGTGGACATCGCACGACCCAGAGACCACGCCGTAACCTTCGACGCTCGTAGCGCGAGGTCCGCCGCGGTGCGGAGTTCTCTGCGAACTTCCGGGTCGTGACCACCCTCATGCAAGTCCCTCAGTGCCTTGGCCTGGTGCACTTGCAATCACGCTGTAGCGTGTAAGGCGGAGGCAGCTTCTCCACAGGTCGTATAGGCATCGCTGGCCAGTCGAGTACCTACAGACCCGGGAGGGAAGGCACGGTTCTCCTATGTGCAACCCACTCGACACGGGAAACCACCACCGCTGAAGCGCCGTCCGCCAATACGAAGAGCTCTCCAAGAGCGCGCTGAACTCGTTCAGTCTTCTTCTCTCAGTAGAGTAGTCAGGAGCAGAACGATGTGATCGCTCGGCGCCGAAGCGAAAAACTGAATATGCGCTGCATCTGCTGCCTACTTATACTCACACTGTGATCAGCAGCAGCTGGATGCAATAATCGCATGCCAATGTGCATTGGCTCGTTTAGTTTACACTCGAAGTAGATTGGTCCCTCTAAGCGAGATCCCAATTCGTCGGTCCTCCAACGTGACGTCGAGAGTGACCGACTGAAAGGGAACTCAAATTAAAGCATGATCTAGAACATTAAATATTGAGAAAACCGCTAAATAAATCAGGGTACATGGATACATGGAGCCTTAATGGTTTTTAATGAACTATCGTGCAAGACAGATAAAATATATTTTGTATTTATTTACTCGTTGTGAGTTATAAATAGAATTCAGCTGAAATATTTATCGGCTCTGATCTAAAATGCAGGTCATAGAGTGTGGAGATAAAACCCCTCTCCCCAAACAGATAAGTGACCAGCCACCTGGACATAGATTGTCCACCGCACAACCACTTTGTATGGCAGCAAATGGCATCTTAAGATGTCTCAAATGCTTAGTTTGAGACTGGAGAAGGACCAGAAGTCTGATTATGGATTTATGAAACTTTCAGCTCTTACTGTAAATGTGCCTCTTTTTGAATCTGATAGTGGCTAAAGTGGTTATAGTAGTAAACTCCAGCCATTTTCAATAACCGCAGTTGGGCAGTTTCTGATAATACTGGGTCATCTGAAATGACCCATCTGAAATGACCCAGTTATCATCTTCAGTGGTTTTGAAGTCACACTATCACGAAGACTCTACTGTATGTCTGTGTGTGTGGGAAATCTTTTGCAAACCTTTATTGGTTTTCTTTTAATCTTCATATTTGCAGCCAATTTTTGATTGAAAGAGAATCAGAGATGAAAATGTAGATGTAGCAAGTGAATATCACTAAAATAAGGTGTTTCCTAATTGTAATTCATCTTACAGCATGTTGTGGCATGTAGATCTTTTGTAAACAAACATTATTGCTCTGTCAGGCCATTTCAAACTGGCACCTCTTTAAAAGATGCAACATCTTTAGGTGCTGTCAGACATCCTCAGAAGAGGAGAAACATGCCCTGACAGTGCGGCAATAAGCTTTGGTTAACATTACAAAAACCACACACCGTCATGGTCGACTTTGCAGGCTGTCAGAGATTAAACTGCATGCAAACTTGTCTCTGTGCCTGCAGGTGATATCTGGTGCTATATAGCAGTGATTCCCATGAAGGAATTACTTCACGTTCCAGGGGTACAGAAATTTGGATTTTGCTTTGTTAATCTATTAAAGCATAAATTATTACTTTAAAATAGGGATAACAATTATTTTGATGATTCATATATTAATAAATATTTTTCTGGTTAATTTAATTAAACACTGTTTACTCTTAAATGTTTACTGTTAAACATGTGCATGCTCATAGTGTACACTACTATTATTCAAAAGTTTGGGGGCAGTAAGTTTTTTTTAATGCATTAAAACATTTCTTATTAATCAGTAGGGATGTAACGATTAACCGCGAGCCGGTTGAAAATCGATTTAAATATGTGACGATTCAAATCGGTTGAGATGCTAAACAAATCGCGATTCAGTTAGGGGTAGGAGTTTATATGAATGCATGTCTGAGGGGAACTTACTGTCTTTCGATGGTATTTTCGATGGTCTCTTGTCTCTGTATAATGCATATCAGGCTACTGGTCGCTCTTTTGCAACTAACTTTCTCAGCTGGTAGCACGAGCACATGATTTGGTCGCAATATATATATATATATATATATATATATATATATATATATATATATATTTATTTATTTATTTTTCGCGCTACCATAATTAGAAGAAACAACATTTGTTTATATTTCATTGAGGTTCAGAGAGACCTTAAGCAGAGTCAAATAAGTCCTGTGATTTAATATTTGTTGGATCACAGGGCTCCAGACTCATTCTTCCCACTGGTTGCTCTTTTGCGACTAACTTTCTCAGTTGGTCACACGAGCACATGATTTGGTTGCAAAATTGTATTTATTTATTTATTTATTGCGCTACAACATGGGATTAATCAATGCATGCTGATGAACTTTTATCATAGTTTATAGTTATATGGAAATATAGTTATCTTGTTACATCTACACACCTTTCATTTTTTAAGACTGAAACAAAAGATCAATTCATTGTTATTCTTAATCAAAAAACACAACAACAATAAATCAGTAAGATACAATGACAAACTAGCTTACAAAACGTTTATTAACACAAACGAATAAGATGAGGCATGGCACACACCACATGCTGTATTATATACCGACTAATAAATTACAGAACGTTTAGCAAACACTGAGGAATCAGATAAATAAATAAAAGAGAGCCTCCATAGCATAAGGTAAACAGCAAAGATAAGTTTTTCAAATAAAAACAAAAAGAAAGGTAAAACTAACTGTGACAGTGCTTGCGACCACACACAAAATTTAGTCGCACAGGCAGAAAAAAGCCCTGCATATTAAAGTTCATAAGTGCAGCGCTGCTTTGTTTACAGCAGAAACCAAGGAAACGCTTTAAGCGCCACCTGCTGGCAGAGAGTGAAGCTGCGTCTCATTCAGTTCTGCTGTTTCTGTTTCATGGAGATATTTTTATGCATAGTTTCACAAAACTGAAGTCAAATCTTTCTGTTTTTGCTTCAAATTTAGAAATTATACAATCTAATTTAGATTAAAAACTGCTCATGTTGCATGTATGCAGCATCTTTGTTTGCATCATGATTAAAATGCAGTGGTTGCCTCTAATTTAAAATGGAAAGAGCACAGACAAAGCCTTAGTTTGTTTATATGAAGAGATTTATTTTATTTGTGTTACTTATTTATTTGATTTGGGGCTTGTTTTAAATTTTCAATTTAGTTTTGTTATTTACATTTACATTAAATTTAAATTTAGTTATTTAGCAAACACTTTTATCCAAGGCGACTAACAAATGAGGACAATAGAAGCAATCAAAATCAACAAAAGAGCAATTGCTATATTAGTATATTATTATAGTGTTATGTTTCAATTTCACAAAGAAACGTACAGTATTTCGTCTAAGCAATAATAAAAGGACACATTTAATTTATTTATTTATTTGTCTTAAATCTCATTTTGTAAAAAAAAAAAAGTGAATCAAATCGAATCGTGAAATCAAAATCGTGAATCGAATCGTGAGTTGAATGAATCGTTACATCCCTAATTATCAGTGTTGAATACTTTTGTAGAAAATGCGATACTTATTTTTTTCAGGATTCTTTGCTGAATTGAAAGAACAGCAAATATTTGAAATATAATTTTTTTGTATGTAAAAGACTTGTTGAAGAATTGGTTTGACCCACTTGCTCAGTGAAGTTTTTGATTTTCTTTCAGTCTTTTAACAAAGTGGATATACTCATATGCTTATGGCCTCCTTTGAAGTGTTTAGAATGTTTAATATAATATAACATTCTCTGTATTTCTGAAGCAGTTTTACTTATTTCACTTACACTTTCATCCTATTGAATGTCTCAGCCAATCAAACGAAATGCCGTTATATAGCCAGTTTCTATAGTTTCTCAAACTGCTTCAGTTGGTGGGTAAAGCTGCTTCAGTTGTTTATCCCCAACAGTATTTAATTTTTTAGTTTCAAAGTGAATCACGTTAATACTGTCCAATTTAAAGGGGTCATATAACGTTGCTAAAAATAACATTATTTTGAGTATTTGGTGTAATGAAATGTGTTTATGCGGTTTAAGGTTCAAAAAACACATTATTTTCCATGTAATGTACATTATTGTTTCTCCTCTATGCCCAGCCTTTCTGAAACGCGTAGATTTTCACAAAGCTCATCATTCTAAAAAAGCGGGGTGTGCTCTGATTGGCCAGCTATCCAGTGCATTGTGATTGGCTGAATACCTCAAGCGTGTGACGGAAATGGCGTCTCCCAGCAGGACGAGACTCAGTCCAGCTGCTCTGTTCGGGCACATCCCATCATCGGTTCTCTTTTAGCAGTTCAGTCAATGTACTGTTAGGAGTCATATCCAGAGAATAACTCTGGATATTGGTTTATTTCGCGTCAGAGGGAGTGTCAGGCACGTTTATAAACCGAATAATTTAAGTAATTTGTGGATTAGTGCGTACTAGAGACGCGAACCGTTTCAAACGGTTCAGTTCGATTTGGTGAACTAGTTCGACCGGTTCACTAAGAAGATCCGGTTAAATAGAACGAATCGTTCGCGATCCGGACATCACTAGACGAGACAAAACCAATAAAACCCATTACAAACGAGGCATTTGTTGCATCCAGTGGGGACATAATTATTGATTGTGCCCAATTAATAGCAGTGAGATGCTAGACATCATCACTTTCACTTTATCAGATAGTATCAAGTTTTTGCTTTTAAGGTTTCACATTTTGTTTTGCGCTGAATAGAATATATCATTACAACTAATTTATGGTGCGTTATGGCATGTCTAGATGCCTTTTAAAAAATGTCTTGCCTAAAAAACAGTGTAATCTATATAAAAGCACAGGCCTCTTTACACTTACATGTTTGCAGGCTAATGGATGTGCTTTTCAGGGTTTCTGCTTTTACTTACATAAAAAGCATGTATTAAAAGGACAGTCCAGTCAAAAATCAGTTACTGGTTTACTCAAACTCATGTCATTCCAAACCTGTATGGCTTTCTTTCTTTTTATTTTGAAAAGTGTCGCAGTGGGGTTTTTTTGTTCATGCAAAAGGTTAGTGGCATCCAATGTTGTTTTGGACCCAAGCATATCTTCTTTTAGGTTCCACAAGAAGAAAGAAAGTCATACAGGTTTAGAAAGACATGAGGGTGAGTAAATGATGACAGGATTTGACATTTTGGGTGAACTATCCCTTAAACCTTTGCATCCAAACTTTCCACCTGGCTTTTATTGAAAGTCAACATCAGATGCTATTCACAACTCATTGTGCTTCCATAATCTAATGTATTTCCGGGTCAAACCAGATATTGATTATGATATGGGATAGTGTATGGATCCAGAATTGATTGGATTGTGAAAATTGGGTGTTACATACCAAAATGGAGTCAGATGCTTGAAAGGGAAACATTGAAAATGAGTAGGGAAAGGTGGCGTCTGTTAGGGTTATGAACTTTAGTGTTGTCTTTTCCTGTTACATCTGCCTGTTCCTGTTTTTCCTTATATGGTTTTGTTCCTGTTCGGTTTAAGATCTTTAGTTCATTTGCTCGTTAGTCATTATTAGTTAACTCCCATCACCTATTTGCCCCTCGTCAGCTGCCCTATTTAGAGTTTTCATTCTGTTTAGTTTACTGTCGGTTATTGTTTAGAGTCACATGTGTTTATGTTACCCGGAGTTATTATCTTTCATGTATTCGTGTGGCTTATTATTAAAGACATTTTTGTGGATTATCTTCGTCTTCATCGCCTTCCTTGGTGCAATTGTGACAGTCATGTAAAAAAAAGTTTACTTGACATTTTTATAAAGGTCCCATCAGGAAAAGTTTCACAATTTCTGTCATATTAAAGTATTTTATACCAATTTGTATGCTGTAAGAGTTTATTTATTGCTTGGCGTTGTGTTTTAAACTATCCTGTGCTGACATGGCATAAAAAATAAAAGAATAAATGAGCATTTTAAAAAAAGTGTATTTGGAATAATAAAAAATAAAAACGTGCACACCAGGCTTGAAGTAAATGTTCGTGTTGACTTTAAAGCGGGAATGTTTCCAGCACGGCTCTGAGCTCCAGTCAGCTGGAAAACTTTGCCGTCAGGGTGAACAGCCCTCAGTGGTGGTTTCTGGGTAGCTATTCAAATCTGAACAAAAGCAGGCCAGAGAGAAAAAAACTGTTTTGCATTCACACTCAGACAAGCTAAAAAAGCACCTACTGAAGAGCTATCATTATGGGTCAGTTTGTTATTTTGATGGTTTAACATGATTTCTGTTCTGTTTTGCTCCTCCTGTCCTCCTTCTCTCTTATGACTGAAATACCTGGTCAACATGTAATGTTTTTCACCCTTTGCTGCACCCAAAGATCCAAAGAACCGCTTTTGTGACCAGGTCCTGAACCTTCTGCTCTGTCCCTACTCTCCTGTTGTAGCCCCTTCCTCTCCTGGTGTTGACTCCATACCCTTGCAGCGCACAGGAAGCCAGAACGCCACAGGAACATTCCCCCGTGCCGGCTATGCCACTGGCCCTGGTGCCTCAACCGCCGACTATGCCAACCCCTACCGTACACTACAGTTCTGCCCCTCCACAGACTCACCCTACAGCAAATCGGGACCTGCTCTGCCCCCGGAGGCAACGCTGGTCAGGTCGCCCTCTGTGGACAGCATCCAGAAGGACCCCAGGTGAGTTCTACCACTGTCTAATGCATCTTGAAGGAACTGCATATGGTGATTTCACCCTGTTAGTGAGGATTAGAGCCTAACTAACATGCTGTGTGATTAACAAATCAAATAGAGCTTCACACGCACACAGGTTGTTTAATTAAGACACTGTAGGGGAGAGGGGGTGAGCTGTGCCACTGTTTAATTTTATTTAGCATTTTTAAGCTGACACAATGTACCTCGAAGCATCTGATGCACTTTAACCCATAGATACGGTACCGTTCAAAAGTTTGAGGGTCAGTACTGTTTTTATGGTTTTTAAAGAAATCTGAGAAATGCTCAGATATTTTGAAACATTATTTAAATTTAAAATAACATTTTTGTTATTTTCAGCAGAAATATTTCTTATTATCAGTGTTTAAAACAGTTGTGCTACTTAGTATTTTTGTGGAAACTGCAACACATTTTTTTTCAGGATTCTTTGATGAATAGAAAACTCAAAAGAACAGCATTTATTTGATGTAGACAACTTTTGTTACAGTATAAACATCTTTACTCTCTCTTTTGATCAATTTAATGCATCCTTGCTGAAAAAAAGTATTGATTTAAAATAAAACATCTTACTCCAAGCTTTTGAAAGGTGGTGTACATACATTTTCTTTGCCAAAAACAAATGTTGTCAAATTCACCAATATAAGATATATTTTATGTATATATATATATATATATATATATATATATATATATATATATATATATGTCAATATGGGGTGCTGTGTGTACATTAATGAGGGAAAAAAATTTACTTAAATGATTTTAGCAAATGGCTGCAATATAACAAAGAGTGAAAATTTTAAGGGGGTCTGAATACTTTCCATACCCACTGTATATAATGAAAATGCTCACTATTTATGTGCAGTCACAAGCAGCTGTACATGATGGTTTCTTTCTAAATCTTTGGTCACAAATGTGCAGTTTGCTTGATTAAGGGCACATCTTACTTCACTCTCCCCTACATCATGAATCAGATTTCACATGATGTCACTTCCTGTACTACCTTAGTTTGCCTGTGTACACTTACACAATCACAAAAGGATATTACACATTTGTTACAATTGTAAACATTCTTCATGAATGATAGCGCATGATTTTATGGATTATATAGGTAGTCAGTTCCACCCTTTTCACTCAGTCTTTATATTGGTATTAAGCATATTTTTGATTTTATCGTGTGACATTAATTTGATGTGCTGAGAGGCCATTGACGATCATCTCTTGTGAGTGTATTATAGGACTTTCTCTTTTTTGTTTGCTTGCTTTTTCTGCTGATTTGACCTTGTTTTGTTTTTGTTTAGTTTTTTTTCTTGTCATCCCTTCTGTTGACTCCTCATGCTTTTTTCTCTCCCATGTCTTTTCACTGCTAGTGGCTATGGTGGAGATGGTATGACGTGTGATGCATTGCACTTACTGGCTGCAAACAAATGCACAGATATGCACAGACAATTTCATACTGTTACAGAACATGTCAAAGTCGTCTTTTATCTTTGGTTCACTAATAATGTTTGGTATATTAAAGGGTGGGTCTGGCAACAATACCGGCCACAGTTCATTACCAAAATCCTTGTAAATGATACATAAAACAGCATTTTTAAACGTAAAGGTCATATGTAGCAAAATATTGTAATGTATATAGACAAAACACTGCATTATTTATAACTCCTTGCACCTCCTTTGAAGAAAAAGGAATGTATAGTTTAGGGGTTTTCAAACTTTTTGAACATCATCAAGGACCCGTAAATATGATTATCTCCTTCTGAAAATATAAAGTGGCTATATATTTTCATGTAAGGACCCATTTATTCTGTTTGAAATATTTGTATAGAAATATTAGTGCTATTATACAAGAAATATGTCTAAAATTAAATAATTTGTTTTTATATTGTCACTGTGAAGCCAAAACAATTGTTGAGTTGGCAGCATTTTTTCTACTCACTGTTAATGCAAGATGTATAAACCTGATGAAAAACGTTTCAGCAATTCGTCTTAAAATTAAAATTCAGTTTTAATGATTGTGTTTGGTGCTTTTTTTTAGATTTTTTTTTTTTAGATTAATCTGAATTTCCAATTAGTCTTTAGAAAGCTGAATTAAAAGTAATAATGTCCAATTTCATAATTGTGTTATTTATTCTGTGAAACATTCAATTACTATCCTAAGATAACTTACGTTTGAAAACCCCTGATAATTGTCGTGAGAAATGTACTGCTTTTCTAAAGTAGAATGCAGAAGTCTTCTTACCATATATCAGTGCTTGCACTGACTGGAAATGTGAAAGTTGATCTCACCCACAAATCAACTGTTACTTCAACTGCTAGTTCACACTGGAGTGGTATATTTGGGTGTTCTTTTCCATTATGTGAGACCCCTCTTTAATAAAAACCAACACAGCAACAAATAAACATTGTAGTGCATGATGAGAGTCAAATGCAAGTGTGTAATATGTTCATGTAGCAGCAAGAAGACAGCTAAACATAAATACATTCATTTTTAATGTCAAATCCCTTTGTGCTAGACACCTACCCTGTCTCTCTCTCTGCCTGTCTCCTGATAGGTACGACCCTGAATTCCTTGTCTGGAATCAAAATCAAGCCGAGCAAAGAATGACAAAGTAATCCAACATTTATTTACATTTCTACTCCTCATCTACAAAAGCACTGTTCTCCTCTCTACTCAACATCATGTGCTAGGGCAGCATGACTGTGTTGAGACAAGCTATGCTTTACAGAATATGTCAGATTGTTATTTTTTTATGGATTTACTTCCAACATTTCCCCATTCTGTTTACGAGAAGAGCACTAGACTTTGATTCATCCCTAGAAAGGTTCATTTGTGGTCAAGTCCAAAGTCATTTTTGGTTGATCATGTTAATGATAGAAATTAGTCATAGTTACACGAAGAGCAGGTGTTCAGATCTGTGTTGGTTTTTCTAGGGAGTGATACTTCATAAGAGACCAGAGTTTGTTCATTCCTGCAAAGCATCACATTGTGTGTGTGTGTGTGCATGTGTGTGTCTCCTGTTGTGTTGTTATTCATTGTTTTGTTATCATTTTCTGTTAAAGCATGCTTATTATCTTTTTATACTTTATTTAACACAATCGTCTTCCTATCAATGCAAGCAACAGCCATGATTGTGTTGTTGTGTTCCACATTTTGCATAATGGAATCATTTTATTGACAACAATAGATATTTTAACACAGAGGTTAGTTCAGGTTGTCATTTTAAAGTGTATTAAGTGAAACTACACTTTTACCATGGTAACCACGGTTACTGTCAAAATAGTTGTCAATAAAACTGTCAAATATGTCATTAGATAGAATTGGCATAAAGAAAAATATATAAACTTTTGTATAAACATAATTTTTTTTTTCTAAAATAAATACTTTTTTCTGAAGGAAAATATATACTTTAACAAGTATGGAATCAATTGATGAAAAGTGACTAAAGTAAATACTAAATCTTTTTCAAATGTATTATTTTTTTTTGAGCTTTCGGTTCATCAAAGAATTCTGAAAAACGTATCACAGTTTTTACAAAAATATTGATCAGCATAACTGTTTTCATCATTGATTATAATAAGCATTTTAGAATGATTTCTGAAGAGTCATGTGACACTGAAAATTTAGGCCTAGCTTTGCCATCGCAGGAATAAATTGCATTTCAAAATGTAGTTAAAAGGTATTTTAAAACATTATTTTAAATTGTAATATTTCCTATTGTTAATGTTTTTACCGTATTTTTGATCAAATCATTGCAGCCTTTGTAAGCAAAGATAGATAGATAGATACAGTTGACAGACAGACAGACAGATAGATAGATAGATAGATAGATAGATAGATAGATAGATAGATAGATACAGTTGACATAGATAGATAGATAGATAGATAGATAGATAGATGGATAGATAGATAGATAGATGGATAGATAGATAGATAGATGGATAGATAGATAGATAGATGGATAGATAGATAGATAGATGGATAGATAGATAGATAGATGGATAGATAGATATATATTGTTGGCAGTATCTATGGTTACCATTGTAAACGATGCACATATGTTTTATAACTAATAATATGTGTAGCATAATTTACCAAAAATTTATGATCCTCTGCATTCATCCAAATATTACAGACAAGACTTATATCCACCACTATAAGCCATATGCTTGTCTGTGATTCAACAGAACTCCTTTGGTTCCAGAATTATGCTATTAATGTAAGATGTGAGGATTTATTTGCCCATTTTGTGGAAATCTAATTTATGTGACTGTTTTGTTGAAAAATTAGATAGATAGATAGATAGATAGATAGATAGATAGATAGATAGATACAGTTGACATAGATAGATAGATAGATAGATAGATAGATGGATAGATAGATAGATAGATGGATAGATAGATATATATTGTTGGCAGTATCTATGGTTACCATTGTAAACGATGCACATATGTTTTATAACTAATAATATGTGTAGCATAATTTACCAAAAATTTATGATCCTCTGCATTCATCCAAATATTACAGACAAGACTTATATCCACCACTATAAGCCATATGCTTGTCTGTGATTCAACAGAACTCCTTTGGTTCCAGAATTATGCTATTAATGTAAGATGTGAGGATTTATTTGCCCATTTTGTGGAAATCTAATTTATGTGACTGTTTTGTTGAAAAATGTCAGAAGCTCAGGTATGTGGAAGCATTAATATAGTCTAATGCTGAGAAGTGCAGTGCAGATTCTCTGATCTGTGCTCTGAGTGGGTGGCTGGAGATGAAGTGGTCACTGAATGTGACAGAGACATTTCTTGACCTCTCTCATTGCAGACCGCTCAAGCCGCCTCTCAGGACCATTCAAGCATGTGTGTGCTGAATCCACAACACTGCTGACCACTATTTCCTAAAGATGGGGTCAACCGCAGGTCGCACGTTCAAACCCTGTTAGAGCACACCGCTCCTGGCTGCACAAATCATATTTATGTGGCCGTTAGAAGCTCTTTGAGTCCCCAGTTTCTCTTACAGCTGTCAAAACAGTGTGTTAGAGGTTTGTTTTACTGTAGGGTGAGAGCTGTCAGAATTAGTCACCTGTAATCTCAAACTGACTGGTGGTTAGTTGCCCCAAACAAATTGATTTACTGAAGTAGAACATGTTGGTCCTGAAGCAATATAACCCAACCTTTGATATATTGATACAAATGTTGTTCAGCCCTCTAAGCTAATTCTAAACTCTGATTGGTTGACAGGAATGTTCTGGATGACCAAATAAGGATGTTAATCAAATAACTAAGGATGTTAGAATGAAGAATACCTTGGGAGAATCCTGTTAAAGTTACTATAAAAAGGAAATTGCGGATCATCTTTTTTTTCTCTCTATTGTGACGTCTTATTGAACGAGAAAAGGGTCAATGGTGGGACTTGATTTTGTCCATTAGGAATTGGTTGGATCATTGTTGTTTGCTAACTACTGCAATGTCATGTGAGTGACAATTACTGTTGTCAAATGTGACCAAAACCAGTCATAAGGGTCAATTTTTTAAAATTGAGATTTATACATCGCCTGAAAGCTGAATAAGTAAGTTTTCCATTGATGTATGGTTTGTTTGGATAGGACTAGTGGTCGACCGATATGGGTTTTTTGACAGCCGATGCCGATATCTTGGAAAGCAGGGTGGCCGATGGCTGATATAAAGCCGATAAAATTTTATATATTTTTAAAATTAATATTTAAGAAATTTGAAAATGGATTAAAAAGAATTGTGTAAAATAAACATAACTTTATACTTTATAAATACTTTAGATACTTTAGAAGACAAAGCATTTTTCACAAATAAATATTTAATAAAAATCTAATTGAAAAAGAAGTAAACACTGTAACCAACAGGGCACTCAGTATTCTGGGAAGTTTGTGTGCATTGGGAATAATTTTTTTTCTTATTCAAATAAAACCAAGGTAACACTCATTTTATACAGCACACAATGAAAATGACATGAATATGACAGTGGGCAAATGCATAAAGCGCAGCATAATTTGAAATCACGAGTTTAGTTAGTCAATCGCGCGTCTCCAGTCAAGCAGAACTCTCCTCCTATCCACATTCAATTCGCACGGACCAACCGTCATGCAGGATACAAATGCACACTTTACAAGATCTCAACTAGATTTGACTAAGTCTGCAAGGTTTGTGAAATTAAATGTTCATTACTCATTCAAAGATTTGTTTAAATGATATTAATGCGTATTTGCTGAATGCTGACGGCAAACGAGAAAGTATTTGTTTGCATTTCTATTATTAATATTAAAGCAATCGTTATAATACTTTTTTGTATACATTTTAATTCCTTTGTTTAACAGTTCTATCTGATTATTAGATAGTCTTATCCATATTAGACAGAACTGAACGACGACAGCGAACAAGAGGGAGAATGTGAGCACTGTGTGTTCAGGCACTGCCGTTCTCAGCGCCGTCAAAATAAACGTCCCACCTCTAACACATCGGC